TCACCTACATCGTCCACAAGGGACGACTCGGGAACTCAACTCCTACCTCGGGCAGCTCACCTTTCCCCCTATGCCCAGGGGAAAGGTATCAAGCCGTTTGACAGCTGATGCAGGCTGTCAGAACGGCTTTTACGCAGAAACAGGCGGGAGCAGCAAACAGCTGCGTCCAGCGAAGGCGCCTGCCACCGGAAGTCCTCCACCATTTTTGTATTTCTGAGAAAGTTAAATAACTTGATATCAAAAGGGATCAGATTTTAAGTCACAATATTCCAAAAAGATCTTATTGCATTCTTTATATATAAAAAATAAATAAAAATCATGATGTGGAAATCAAATAACTGAGACTTTTCAAGAATTTTAGTAACAAAATGAACACTCCATATTCTTGTTTTTGTACAGGTTAACTATATGAAGGAAAATATTTATGTGAAATAGTTGAATAGGTAAGAATAAAGATTGCCTATCTGTTCTGATTTCACAGGTAGGCAGGTGGCCCACAGTGGAGCCAAAACAAGTGTGGTTGATGTACCTCTAATTGCACCATCTGCTTTAAATTCTACCACGGTGGTTACTACTGTATATCAAGAGCCCATCATGAGTCAAGGAGCTCCCCTAAGCAATGAGTCACAGACTCTAGTGAAAGAGGAGGAAGAGAAGAAGCAGTTAGATGAGGAACCAATGGATATGGTGGTGGAAAAGCAAGAGGATGCTGACAAGAATATCAGCCAAATATTGACTGACATCTCTGAAGCAAAAATGTCAGAAGAGTTAAAACCAATGGATACCGATAAAGAGAGCATAGTGGAATCTAAATCTCCAGAAATGTCAATGCAGGAGGACTGTGGTAGTGATATTGCCCCAATGCAGACAGATGAGCAGATTAACAAGGAACAGTTTGTGCCTGGTCCTCATGAGAAGCCATTATATGCTATTGAGCCGGTGACTCTAGAAGACCTACAGCTACTTGCAGATTTGTTCTATTTGCCCTATGAACATGGACCTAAAGGGGCTCAAATGTTACGGGAATTCCAATGGCTCAGAGCAAATAGCAGTGTTGTCAGTGTGAATTGCAAAGGAAAAGATTCTGAAAAAGTGAGTGACTCTTTTATTATCTTTTAGTATTATGGATGACACGATAGCAAAAAAAATACTAAGGAAACTTCTGGGATAAACTTGATGTAAAAAAACCATTGAGGAAAATGTGCATGCAGATAGATGGATGTTCATTTCCTTGTCCTGTAATTCTTAACCTTTACTCTCTAGTTACATTGAGCCTACAACTCCCAGAATTCTCTGCTATTAATGTCCAGTTCCAAACAAATAAGTCCAGTTAGGAAAGCCTACACTCTAGAGCAGCGGTTCAGTTGGATACCCAGCGCTGGGGTAAACCCCAGCTAGCTGGTAAAGTGCCCCCAGCGGTTCGTTCCGACAGGCGGTAAAAAAGGGGAAAAGGCCGCCCACGGAATGGAGGGAACTCGACCCGGTCGACCACCAGCCGGACGAGGCAGAGACGGCGAACGGTCGATGCGGAGCCGGCCGCGTCCCCCGCCTTCCACGCATGCATGGCGCTCCCGGGCAGGGAAAGTCCTCGACTTACGACCGGTTGGGTAGTCCTCGACTTACGACTGGTTTAGTCCTCGACTTACGATCGGTTTAGTCCTCGACTTACGACCAGTTGGGGGGTCGCAGCATTAAAAAGGTTGAGAACCACTGCTCTAGAGTTTGTCACACTGCATGAATTGCCAACTCCTTGGTTAACTGTTGATAGGTATGGAAGAGATAGATGAACTTTGGGTGAATCTTTCTTGGCAGGAGGGAAGCAAAGTGGATAGAATTAAGAACAGGTAGTCCTCAACTGATGACCAAAATTGAGCCCAAAATTTCCATTGCTAAGCAAGACAGTTGTTAAATGTGTTGTGCCCCGTTAAGTGAATCGTGGTTGTTAAGCAAATCTGGCTTCCTCTATTGACTTTGTTTGCCAGAAGCTAGCTGGGAAGGTTACAAATGGTGATCCTAGTGCAGCTGTCATAAATACATGTCAGTTGCCAAGCACTTGAATTTTGATCACATTACGGGGGATGCTGCAACAGTCGTAAATGTGAAAACCAGTCATGAGTTGTAACTTCGAATGGTTACTAGATGAATGGTTGTAAATTGAGGGCTACGTGTATGTGTGTGTGTGCATTTAACGGCTTGATAAAAACGGAATATAAATAACTTGAATGAATTTTATCAGATTGAAGAATGGCGTGGTCGAGCAGAAAAATTTGAAGAGATGTGTAGCTTGGTGATGGGAATGTTCACTCGTCTTTCCAACTGCGCCAACCGGACAATCCTTTATGACATGTACTCCTACGTCTGGGACATCAAGAGCATCATGTCAATGGTGAAATCTTTTGTGCAGTGGCTAGGTATGTTCTTTAGGAACCAGTTATAGTGGCAACTAGCATATATGTTTGTCTTCAATTAGCCCACGGGAAAAAGAGAATGTCAAATATTTTCATATCGGGATCACGTTGTACTTAAACTACTTCTGTTTTTGTGCATTATTTATGGTTTAATATTAAACTGGTAAAAAAAGCACAAGTGAACTTACACTGAATAGCTCTTGATTTATATATATTTTTTCCTTGGGCTAATTAATCTGAAAGTTATATCTCTGAAATATGAGCGTTGACTCAGACTGAATGCACACTGGACTACATTATTTAGAATTTTCAGGCTTCTAGCAGAATTGGAAATGACACTATGAAATGTGACCATACCTCAGCTGTCTGCTGCTTGCTCTGTTTCAATAATGTTATTGCTGTCTTCAACAGAAGAGTTGCAGATGTGACCTTTCACTGGGCTTGGCCAAGAGGGAGCCGAGCTTTGTAGCCTTTCTTTGCGCATGCGAGCTTTAGCATAAGGCTATTCTGGTGCAAAAGTGATTTGCTTTGACACTTGCAAGGAGCCTAATTTTTGGGCAAGGGTAAGAAATTACAGAGCTCTGGAGTCTGCTTTTATGCTAGACTGGTGGTTTCTGAAGCCAAAACCAAGAGCTATTTTTTTTTTGTCTGCAGCTTTTTAAAAATTAAATATTTTTGGGAATAGCACCAGCATGGCCTGGGTTCCTCTAGTGACCTCATTTCACTTTCAGGTTTCAATCCAGCTGTAAGGAAATACGCTGTGGACTTGTTTGATGTACACAGCAGGCAGCAAAACTGATGGTTTCTTGTCACCATTTCTGTAGTAGTCACAAATATCTTCATAAGCTCACTACTCTCTATTAGATCAGCCTACAGTTCTTGGATCACATAAGTCATTAAGATTATATAAATAGTTGCATAAAGTAGAACCTTGGGTTGAAACTTAAAGATAGCCCACACTTTTGAGCTTTTAGTGTGTAGAATGTTTGCAATGGGAGTAATTTTTCCCAGATAAAAAAAGGGAATCATTCAGAGTTAGAACATTATAGTAGCACACATTGTGTGAATACATTTTTGTGAAGAATTTGACTTATTTTGCTTCCATGTTCACCTTGGATTAGGTTTAGAGATTATATGTAATTTACAAGAAAAGAACAAGAAAATAGCATTAGGCAATCCTTATTGCCTTTAAAATATTTTTTTCTATTATAAAGACAAAAAGAGATATACAAGTTAGAAATAGTTACACAGTTGGATAAAAAAGTTATTCTCTGACAATTCATTAAACATTGTCAGCTAACTTGCTAAGGCAAAAACAGCACTGCATGGATATGTAGGTTAAGATTATGATTTCTCTTCAAGCTAAAATGTCTCTGCAATTACTTTACTGAAATTCAGTGACAAACTAACCAAGTCAAAAGATTAGGCTTGTTAAACAGAAGATAAAAGCTAAATTTGTTTTTTAAAGATAATGGGGGCCAATATAAGAGACTAGAAATACAAAATTTCCATATGATAGAATTGTATACTGAGGGGAATTTCCTAGAACAACTAATTCAACCCCCGCCATGTGTAGGAAAATCAGTTAAACTATATGTAAGAGATGGCTGTCCAGTCTCTTCTTAAAAACCTTCCGGGATGGTGAACCCACAGCCTCAACAGATAGACTGTTTCAGCTTCCAGATTTTTAGAAATACAGAGTAAGCAATCTAAATTGACAAATATATGCTGCTCATAGCATGCTGTGCAATTTCATAAGTGAAAATACAGGCACACAGCAAGTCATGGTATCCCTATACAACATAGAAATAGTGGCATTGTTTTCATAGGGTGGAAATCAATGGATTGAGCATGGGATTCCAAAATACAAGGCAATATTATTTGAAGTAACTGAATAATACGCATTACCTTCTGAATAAAAGATGCTGGGAGCCCATGTGGGCATTAAAATCAAGACTAAAGTTACCTAGCAATAATTTTCTTAATGAACTAAGTATGTCATTCTATTTTACTGTGGAGCTAAACCAGACAGAACTGTAATAGTAAGTAAAATAGGTTCTCAAGCTACTAATTGATTCTTGAAAAATAAAATTTAAATCCAAAGGCTTAACAAACAAAATTTAAAATAAATAAAATACACTAGAATATACATTATTTTATATTTTAGCCATACAGGTTGCTCCACTTGGTGCTCTTTGACAGTAATTGATCACCAATTTTGTGCATTTCATGTTCTACTCTACACTTTACCCATACAAAGGGTTAAATAAATGGTGAATTCTGACTGATACCAATGGTTACTGATTTTTAGTTGATATCATTTATATAATAAAACATAGATTTTTAGTTATAACAACACAAAATATTAAACTGCAATGTACAAAAAGTTAAATCGGAACAGTATCAGTGAACGTTCAAATGCTTAGTGGTCCACTGAAGGCTGATTTTCTTACTTTTTCTTGCAATCCAGCTAGCATTCAGTTTATATAACTAGCGTAGATAATTCTACTATGGATTACTAATGCCTTCTACTATCTTCTTCCCCAATGTGTGCAGATGGGAGAATCTTCAGCACAAGTGTCTACTGCTATTGGATGGACCACGCCAGATGCTTTCAGCGGGTCGTGATTAATAAATTTAACATGGGAAAGTTCTGATTGTGAGGCAGCTCAGATTAGGGTTGTAGGCATGGGCTGAAGTCACATTTGCGCAGCGACTTAGGCATTAACTTTTGATTTTCATTCATACAGCTCTTCATTCATGCAGCTCTATAAAATGTACAATAGTTGAAGTGCTAGTTACAGTGTAATCTCAAAGGAGAAATATTTCAAGTTATCTGTGAAGGGGTTCTGTATAAAGTCTCCATATATGAGAGACTGGCAAATAGAAGCAGTTGAAGCTCAAACTGTGCTCTTTGGGTCACTTCAAGCTTGCTGTGTTAAAGGCTTGCTTTTATAATTTGAAACCAAGGAACAATATCTAGCTTGATTCGCTTTGAGACTGCCTGGCTAGCATGATGTGTGTGACTACTGATCTGAGATTGTTACTTGAACAGGAAGTAGATTGCTGTCCACAAGAAGAAACAAACTTGCGCAGCTTATCTTATCAGAAAACTAGATGGGTGATATACTCTTCACATCATTTATTTATCTCCTCTTTGAGAGCTTAATTATACTGATTGGTTTTCTAATGTCTTAAACAGAATTTTCCTCAGAATTGAGTCACAGTTTAAAGTTTATAGCTTCATCCTTGATTATGCCAAAAATTATAAAGGCATATGGTAAGGCTGGCTGTCAGAAATTACACCGTTTCTAATATAATTGTGGAGTAATTGTAACTGAAGCCATTGTTGCCTTTCTTAATAATGAAGTATATGCTGTGTTGTGTGGTTGAGAAGTAGATAGTATTGGTTTCTAATCTCTGAAAAAGAGGTTTTTGTTCTGCATAGCTGTTTGGGCTATATTATCGCATACCAGACCTAGTTTTCTGGCAAGATTCAAACCATATGAACATGTGACTTCAGACAGGTCCAAGTATTTTTAAAGGGCTGTGGTAATGGCTAGTAACTGTACGTCCCTTACTGGGTGAAACCAGACACTTGTTTCCTTATATGTTGTATATATCATGTACCTGTATCAAATGGAGCAGCTTTTAGCAGTAGTAGGCTGTCTGCGCTCTAAAGCTATCATTGTAACATTCTTTTGATTTTATTAATAAAGAAGACAAGCGCCTTATGATTAGGAAGCTATGTACTGTGCAACATTATTACAGCCCAGCAAGCTCTTGGATAATAGCTCAGTTAGAGAGCTTTTCCCACAAATATGTGTTAGCTTGTTGGACATTTTAGTATCTCAGGACAATCCCCCTTCTCGTAACATTCTCCGCTTGGATCTGATCTCCACAGGGTGTCGTAGTCAATCTTCAGCACAGTTCTTAAGTGGAGACCAAGAACCCTGGGCCTTTAGAGGTGGTCTAGCAGGAGAGTTCCAGGTATCAATATGAATTCACAACTGAATGACATTGTCTTTGTTTGAGAAATCTTTTTTTTTTTTTTTTTTGCACATCGGAGGGCTGGAAGGCTTGGTCTGCCGAAGGCTTTCTGGTTCAAACCCCAAATAGCCTGATAGGTTGTTTTAAAATAATTTTCCTCCCATTTCTACAGTAATATCCCAAGGAGATGCTGCCATTCCCACGCGCATGCGAAGCGCAGCGGCTTTAGTTGTACATTTCACATTGTTTCTTTGCAGGTCGCACAGCGTTTTTATCTGCGCCCGCAATTGCACAATGCGCGCCTGCTTGTCTTCCAATGAGAACTCCATGAGCAAAAAGATCGTGATGTAGTGTAGTTAAGAACTCTTTCAAAGCAAACATTGTTTGCATTCTTGACAAATCGATTGGAAAATCAGTTTTAAAAGTTGGTTTTTTCTTCTGTGTTTGAATTTGCTCATGGACTTTTCAGGGGCTTACTTTCTTCCCCCTCACAGGTGCTCTCTGCGCACAGCCAATTGAGTCAGCACGTTGTTTTGGGTTAGTGTCTCTGGCCAGTTAACCCTCTTCAGACCAAACCTTTCCTCCTGACACATGGCTATCTTATGCTGAGAACATAGATGAGATTTGGCAAGATAATACTAAAGCAAAAAATGAGTTTAATGTTAAGTGCTGTAACAGTTGTGTATCTTAGACTTCTATTCAGATAAAATGGTCCTTACGTTTGTAAAGCCTGCAAAACCCTATCTTCCTCTGGGGTGCCTGCAATACCAAAAGTTATCTTGGGAGTCTGCAGTGCGCACCCAAGAATGTATTGTCTCTTGCTTCTCACTTACATTAACTTTTTATTTTCACAGCGTTTGCTGCCTATTGAAGGAGCAAATGACCTCTTCTTTCAGCCTCCTCCTCTGACTCCTACTTCCAAAATCTACACCATCAGGCCCTATTTTCCTAAAGATGAGGTAACCTAAATTCTTTTGTGGTCTTATGAAAACTCGATTTTTGAGAGAACATCTTAATCTAGGCAACTGTTTCCTTTTTCCAGAGTCCTTAGAATGCCTGGGAAATGTATGGCTTGAATAGGAAAGGTTATTATTGAAGTAAGTTTAAATGATGCACTCCAGGTTCATTGTAAATAACATGCAGTCCTGGCATTATTTATGCCAAAATTTTCCCAAATTGTAGAATATAGTTAGTTTGCTGTTATTATTTCTAAAAAAATTGTAAGTATTCTTGATCCTTTGGCTGATTGCCTTCATAATACACCTGAATCAGAACTTCACATATCCCTGATACTTCTTTGAAAACTAAGTCTGAACGTTTTTAATGTTGAGTTTTGTAATGCCAAATCAAAGAAGGTGGAAGACTAATGTTGTACATCAATATCCTTTCAATTCTGTCCAGTGAATTTCAATGCTGAGTGGAGTTTTCAAGAGTAATTAATTTATATTACATTCTATTGTCAGTAGTTGCAATATCTGTGAAATATGAATTGTTACAGAACCATGACTCTAACAAATGAGCATGTCTGTTTCATATTGGAATAGTATGACTCCCAAAGAAAAATAACATGCTGTCACAGAGTTTAAATATATTTTTATGTATTGTGTCTTTAGGCATCAGTGTACAAGATTTGTAGAGAAATGTACGATGATGAAACTGATCAGCCTTTTCACAGTCAACCAGATCTAATTGGAGACAAGTATGTATTATTTTGACAGAAATTTGATTGTATTGGGTATATATTCTATTTGTACAGCATTGTATACCTCTTCCTATCAAAAACTGTAATACAATTCATTGTATATTACATTTGTGCATTGTGACATTTTTGTAGTTTTCACAGCTATGGTGACACGGGGTTAACTAATTAATGGTCATACATTACAAATGTTTAAGATTCTCGTTTCTGAAAGCAACTAAAAATCTCAGAGAAAAAGCCCTAAAAGTTTTAAATCATGTATCTGACTATTAAATACTTAGGAATTAGAAGCAAACAAATTTATATAGCATGAACTATGAATATAATATAAACATTTCTCCTGAAGTTAAACTTTGGATGACTTTCAAAGCCTAATACTGCAGTTAACTTAGAGAGAACTATTTACTTCACATTGCTAAGTTGAGGTAGGGATATATAGTTATTATAGGGTTGTGTTTCCAACCCCAAAATGCTTCTGTGTGGAATATCCAGGCATCAATCCAGGCATCGGCCACCTGAAACTAGTTGCTCCATGCATTTTGGGGTTGGAAGAGAAGGATATAGGTAAGATTGTCAGCTGTGGTTAAAGGATGATGATAAAGGAAAGTGTTGGGAATCAGGAAGGAGTGTGCAAATTGGTTGGATATACCAAGCTAGAATTCAGGAGTGGCACTAAGAAAAGGTGGGGAACGGAAGCTGCTGGAAAGATAGGTAGATGAACCTGTGCATGTGGCGTACAGAAGGGAGTGGGAGAAAGGGTCTTGCTTTATTCATTTAGTAAGACCCATCCAGATTTATTTTTTCAGAGAAAACCTGATATGTTCTGAGTTTCAGTTTGGCTAAACAGTTCAGCCAAACTTCAAGGCACAGCATTTTTCACATTTGAAACAAAACATTTGCCATGTCATGCAGACCCCTGATTCATTGACTCTCACCTCACTAGGTTATCCTTGTTGCTACATTGGTTTAACTTACAAAATTAATTAGTGAGTGGAAATGTGAAAGAGCCATATTAGAAAAGAAGTTAAATTATGGGTGTATACAGGTTTTAATAACAAAGATTCATATTAAATAAGTTTGATTTCTGAAATATAATCATGCAAAGTTATTTCATTATTAAGTATTTGGCTTAAGTAGGATTATTAGTTTTAGTCCCTAACTGGAACATTTGAGATTTCTCTCAACTAATATCTATTGCTTTGTTATTTTTCTGCTAAATGCTTTTCTTCAAGTGGAATGTCTTGCTAGAGTGGTATGCATATCTTGCAGTTATAATTGTTCAAATCTTCTGTCACTGTTCCATATCATATCAGGGACTTAATATTAGAATGTTGAGATCAACAAAATGCTGGTACAAAAGGCAGATATTTTATTAAAAATTCACTCTTCAGAAATTTCTTTCATGTTAATATAATTTAGGGGAAACGGATTGTTGTGCTATTCTTTAGTAGATCTAGCTTTACTATTTTACTTGTCCTTTCCCTTTTTATGCTTGATCTAGACAGTTTCAAGTTTAAGAAATGACTAGTTCAAATCTGTTTTCTTACTATCTAAGCTAAGGCAACTTTTTCCGAATGCTCTTTAAATCCACTTTGGCGCGTGTTTTCCTGAACTGGTATGGCCTCATCTTCTCTTTTTGCCATTACCTCTACAGTTTTTTCAAAATTTCCCATAAGATATTACCAGATCCTTTAAGTTTTTAAATATGCAGTTTCATCAGAAAGCATAACACATATCCTACTAGCCTTTAATCATACAGTAACAGAATGTTTTTGGTTTGAAGGTGTTGTGTAATATGCACAGGTTTTACTGATTTCATTCATTAATTCAGATCTTCCACATTTTGTTCCCATGCGTTACATCAGTGGTTTTGCTTTTCTGTGGATGTGTTTTGCTGCTGTTGTCTATTATTTAATGTAGTTTTTGTGATTTAAGTTTTTGTTGCTTTTGGTCTCATTCACTATTCCTTTCCTCTCAGGCTGGTGGGTGGCTTGCTTTCTCTGAGTCCAGATTACTGCTTTGTTCTGGAAGATGAAGATGGCATCTGTGGTTATGCACTGGGTACTGTTGATGTAACCCCTTTCATTAAGAAATGTAAAATTGCCTGGATTCCTTTCATGCAGGAGAAATATAGCAAGCCAAGTGGCGATAAGGAACTATCAGAGGCTGAGGTTAGTCATGTCAGTTTATGTATGATTCAAACAAGTAATATGAGTACATGCCTCAGTGGGAACAATTTATGCAGGTCCTTTCCAATGTTAAATTTTAGACTTACAGAGTTTATTATTGCATATGATAAAAAGTTACTACCGTGTTTCTCCGAAAATAAGACCCACCCCCAAAATACGCCCTAGCCTGATATTCTGGGATGGGCCTAATATAAGCCCTGCCCCCAAAATAAGCCCAGGGGGATGGGCGTGGCTAGCACAAGAGGTGGTGAGCGCGCGGGAGCCGACAGTGTCCAGCAGCAGCTGAAACCCACCAAGTCCTTGGCGCAGCGCAGGTATGTCCGAGCACAAAGGAGGCAGGCAATTCTGGTGCAGCCAAGCCAAGAGATGGTGGGACAGAGTGGGTGGCGCTTCGGGATCACCTGCCTCCCCCCCCATGTGCCTCTGCCTCCCTCTGCTGCCGGTACCGCCCCTCAAGCCTCCCACGAGCCAGATGGCTGCACAGCACATCCAGATTGCCTGCCTCCCCCTATGCCTCTGGCTCTGCCACACACTTTTTGCCCAGAGGGAGACTGGAAGCTTCGTCTGCTTGCAAATGGGACGCTATTAGCTCCGTTTCAAAGCGCCCCATTTGTAAGCAGACAAGGCTTCCAATCTTTCTCTGGGTGAAAAGTGTTTTGGCGCCTAAGGGGTACTTGGGAATGGAGCAAATCGCTGTTTCCAAGTGCCCCCATAGGCGCCCAAACACTTTTCGCCCAGGTGGAGAAATGACGGAGACTGGAAGCTTTGTCTGCTTGCAAATGGGGCGCTTTGAAATGGAGCGATTAGCGAATAGATCAGTGGTTCTCAACCTTTTTAATGCCGCGACCCCAACCGGTCGTAAGTCAAGGACTAAACCGGTCATAGGTTGAGGACTAAACCAGTCGTAAGTCGAGGACTAAACCGGTCGTAAGTCGAGGACTACCCAACCGGTTGTAAGTCGAGGACTTTCCCTGCCCGGGAGCGCCGCGCATGCGTGGTTCCGCCCCCTGCGCCGGCCGAGGCGTAGCTGGCAAGCGGCAGAGACGGAGCAGGCCGACCACCAGCTGGCCCAGCCCAAGGGAGGTAAGGCACCCACCGGAAAAGGGGAAAAAAATAGCGGACAAAAAAATGGCGGACAAAAAAATGGCGGACAGCCTTGCTTGGCGACCCCCGTGAAATGGTCGATCGACCCCAAATGGGGTCCCGACCCACAGGTTGAGAACCACTGGAATAGATGAAGCTTCCAGTCGTCATTTCTCCATTCGGGCAAAAAGTGTGTCTGCCCTGGGAAGCCCTTGTAAGTCATTGCGACTGCGGGCAAGCAGATGGAGGGAGCAGGCGAGCGGCTGCAAAATAAGACATCCCTTGAAAATAAGACCTAATGGGTCTTTTGGTCTAAAAAAGAATATAAGACCCCACGGTATAAATTAATTCAGCTCTTTGCCTCAAAAAATCTTTATTAATATATATATATCCTCAGTTCACTGTTTGAATTTGAATTGAAGAGGTTGGATTTCATTCTTAAAAATTACCTTGAATTATTGTTTGTCATAGCAACCATTTTTATACGTATATGTAACATTTTCCACAAATGGAGCAGTTGATTTTGAGTGGCCCAGGAAGAAATAATTCAGCATGAGGGGAAATGGAGAAAAAGCCAGGGCCTGATGGCTGTAGGGAGGCACAGGGAAAATGGGAACTCTAGTGGAACACGGTCCTCAATTTACAACAATTTGTTCAATGATTGTTCGAAGTTACAGTGGCATCAAAAAGAATGACTTATGACCAGTGTTCACATCTCCAACCATTGCAGCATTCCATGGTCGCGTGATCAAAATTTGGGCGCTTGGCAACTGGATTGTATTTATGACAGTTGGACTGTCCTGGGGTCATGTGATCACCATTTGTAACCTCAGCCGGCTTCAAACAAGCAAAAGTCAGTGGGGAAAGCCAAATTTGCTTAGTGTATGATACACTTAACAACTGCAGTAACTTACTCAACAACTATGACAAAAAGTCGTCGAATGGGACAAAACTCACTTAATTGCCTTGTTTAACAACAAATTTTGGGCTCGATTTTGGTCGTAAGTTGAGGATTACCTGCATGCTATGTTGGGAGTACTAAGAGAAGTGAGTATATGCACCTGCATTGCCCTATTTCCTCCTGAATTTTGTTTGTATTTGTATATTATAGAAAATCATGCTGAGCTTTCACGAGGAGCAAGACGTTCTGCCAGAAACATTCCTTGCCAACTTCCCATCACTGATAAAGATGGATATTCATAAAAAAGTGACAGATCCAAGTGTCGCTAAAAGCATGATGGCCTGCCTACTTTCCTCTCTCAAGGCAAATGGTAAACTGCTGTTGTTGCATTTCAAGTTACCGAGGTATTAAGAGCAGTAATTACATTCTGCAGTTCAGGAAAAGTCATAACTTTACACACTTAAATATCAGGTAGGGAATGTAAATAATCAGGAATGTGCAAACCATATTCCTTGCTTATTGATACTTTCAGCACAGAGTAAAGAGGTCAGATTTGTAATCTAGGAGTGATATGTAATATTCATGTTTAAATTATCATAGTGAGTTTCACATGAAACTATTTTCCAGAAATGTTTAGAAATAGCAACGGTTCCAGAATTCAGTAGTTCATTTTCTTACGATGCTTGCCTTCAGTAACATGAGGAAGACTTATTATTGTGTGCCTCTCCATCACATTATCTTAAAGTCTATCTTGGAAAGCCTCCTTCTGCATCTGAGATTATCAAGAGAGGGTCAGTGGTTATAATATTCATGTGGAACAGTGTTCCCAATTTACTTATGTATCTTGGTTCAGATGGACTTTTAGCTACTTAACTTCCTTTGGAGTTGTAAATACTAAAAGGCACCCGTCAATAATATTGCCAGTGAGCTCTTGGAAGATTTGTTCTTATTGACTTTTTGTCAAAAACTATTGCAATGGAATAAATTGCATTTGATGTTTCCATTCACAAATATGGACATCTGTAATATGTAACAATCTAGAGTTGAATCATTGCTGATACTAAATCATGATAGTTTATGCATTATGCATTTTCTTTGGATTACCAGTTCTTTTAATATATAAAAAAAGAAACAAAAAGCCCAAAGAGGCTATCAAGAACATACACATAATAGCAAAGGCAAGGATTTGGGGATTAAATACAGAAAACTCTCAATTGATACAGAAAAATGTTGTGACTCTGCAGGTTGGAATTAATATACCATATCACCGTTGTATGTCCCGAATAGCTATATATTTCACATTTGTTTCTTCAGCTTTTGAGAAGGCCTAGGTCCATGATTTAACTGAGGTGCATAATCCAGTTAAAGCTAGTTCCATATGCCCAAGAAGTCTGAACTTTATGTTTTACAGAAAATCCTGAAAAAAAAGTTCCAGAGCACTTTATAAGAGCTCCAGGCATGTCTGAAGCGACTTTCTGGATGCTTGGCAATTTCATGAAGACTGAAAAACTTATCATTCTGCTGTGCATGATTGGAATTTTGATCAAACTATAGGACTGAATGTAAAATGATCTATGCTGTTCTGTGTTCAGTCACCAGTCTAGATTCTCTCTGCTTCTACTTTCTTACCAAATGTCTTCGTTTGATTTTATTCATTTGCAAATCTCTCGTTTCCTTTTTTTTAGGTTCCCGTGGGGCTTTCTGTGAGGTGAGACCAGATGATAAAAGAATCCTGGAATTTTACAGCAAACTGGGATGCTTTGAAATAGCTAAAATGGAAGGTTTTCCAAAAGATTTTGTTATCCTTGGAAGAAGTTTGTAGGGGATTTTTTTAGTGAGCATGTTGAGACTGTAGCCAACTAACAGTTGGAGAGTAGTGAGCCTGAGTTTTGTTACTGTCTGCCCTTTCAATGGCAGAAGTCAGCTGGCCTGACAGGAAAGAACCACCCATTATTACACTCTCCCGTATGCTGCTGAAAACAGTTTGAAGAATGGTTACCGGTCATCATTTCCTGGTCTTACGCAAAGTGCCAAGGGATACTGCATAGCTTCAGGAAAAGATTCACAAGAACTCTCAAAGAAGGATTGGGGGCTTTTCCATCTCTGTATGCAACAGAAAGGTCGACTCCTTTGTATCGTGAAGTGGGATGCAACATGGAAGTGGGATCTTGTATAGAGAAACACAGGGTACCTGTGCAGGTCATTTTATGAAAGATGAATGATAACTCATGGTTGTGTTGGCTGTTTTGCTTATTAGTAAGGAAATGGCCAGCTCCTCTAAAGAAAATTGATTAAGCTTTGTGCTTTGTAGGGATAAAATTGTGCATTTGTCTATGGGGTCAGTGGCAGAAATGTAAATTTCAGTGTGTAAATATATACATATATAGATATATAGATATATATAAACTTGCTTAATGCTGACGCTTTGTGTTTAATTGTTTTTGTAATTATTTTGCTTTCCAAAGCAAAGTGTAATTATTCTGAGACAGCACCTTCAGTTTCAAAAAACAAAACAGAGGCTCAGGCTTATTTCTGGTCAAGTCTGCTATGTTTCATGTCCTTTACTAGAATGCCAGTTTGAAGCTGATCTAGAGGGATCAGTCCTTTAGAGAATGAATTTTCAGTAAATGGGTAAATATTGCTTCCTACCAAGAAAATAAAAACTTATTGACAGTCACTCTAGTGATAGCTACTGAGTTGCTCAGCTGTGCTCAATAAGTGGATGGACAAATATTACAACCTTAGCTCCCCATTCTTCCCTTTTCAGTCTTATTAAATCAGGGTCTTCAAGTCATACGTATTTGTTACAGACTTCTGGGGGGGGATAACAAATAGCACATTTTATATATTATTATTTAATTATTACCTAATTTTAATATTACTGCCTGTTCCAAACATTTACGGTTTTTACTGCAATCTGACAAACTATGCAGTTGTAGGAGGGATGATGGATGACTCTTTTGTTCTAAGAAGCTGTTAGCCAACATAATGCTTCATTATTTTCACCTACTACAATAAACTATTTTTGTTTCCTTTGAAACTATATCTTTTTAGTAAAGATAGAAATTGAACTGATCTTGTTTTTTTGTTTGTTTTTTTTAAATGAAATTCCATACACTTTTTAACTGGCATTTTACTGTCGTTTTAATTTGCGCCCATTTCATAGAAGCTAGCGTTTGGCCTTGGTTATATTTGCTTATTGATATTTGATTTTGACTGAATGAAAAGCAGAAAATTTCAGCTGCAGCAAATACATTTCATTTGAGGAGCAAAACAATGGACAAAAGGACTTTCATGTTTTTTTTTATGCTTTTGAGTGAATGTTAAACAGCCACTTCATTTGGTTTTAACTAGGTACCGTGTGTGTATACAGTAGTTGGAATTATTGCAATTTTGTGGGGAGAGGGCATCTGGATTTTTATACTGTTAAATATAAATTTATCACTGTTATAAGTTAATTGTGTGCATCTTGAAAGTTTGAGTCAGTCGCTTGCTCTGAGTGTTATCAAGTGTAGCACTGACACAACTTTCAGAGACGGTATCAGTTTTCATTGCATACAGTTGGAATGCAATTTTCATGACTGTCTTTAGGTCTGCTGTATCTGTAGCAAAACAACAGATTGTAAAATTGTATTTGGAAACCATGTGAAAAATAGAATAAATTGCAAAGTCAATGTAAAGGCATGTTTTGGTATAATGTTAGAGAATGAGGAAAATTAGTGGAGAAAAATAATTTTCCTGTTGTGTTTTATAACTGTCTAATGATTGTATGGTAGCAATGAACAGTTCATATTTTGGCTCCACGTTGCAGGTTTGGATATAGCAAATCTGCCTCTTGTGTTCATTTCTCTTGGGCGTGCTGTTCTGTAAATACAGATGAACATTACTGAAGGCTACTGAAGTAGGTGTTTATTCTTATTGAGATTTCACAAATAATACTTTCTAATTTAAAAGAGAATAGTAATTCCGGGTAATAATGGTCCTTTACCACTATATGCGATCAAGACCACTGCTCACAGCACACCTCCAAAGCCCTAAAAAAGCCTCCAAAGACCCATCAATTATTAATTTTCAATGTGACAGAATGAAAAATGAGAGTAAAATGTTAGTGCTTTATTAATTAAATGAAAATGAATTCTACTTTTTTTTTTTTTGCTCCAAATAATACGGACCCTGGTCTGCCGATAGGAGAAAATATTGTAGCTTAGGATTGAGCTGTGGGGTCCTTGGTGCTCTTTGAGCTTGGTTGCTTTCTTGCAGACTTCATTACCAAACTAGGTAACATCATCAGTGCTAGTAGTGATGATGTCTAGTTTGGTAATGAAATAAATGTCTGCAAGAAAACAACCAAGTTCAGGGACCCTAGTGGTCAAAACCTAACCATAACTCTGTGTTGAAGTTTATATTTTGCCCGATAGTTCTAGATAGCAGAAAGAAAAATAAAGGAGGTGGGGGAAGCTGTGTAGGGACTGATACTTAATACTAGCCCTATCTTTTTGATTCCATTTTAGTTGATATGTTTTCAAACCGTTGGATTCCCTAATTACTAGATAAGAGAAAGAGAAAATTCATATAATATGTCTGGATTATTTTTTTAATTCACCCTAGAATTAAATATTTTAGCATGATGAATGGAATATTTAATGAGTAAATTTTATTGTAGGTTAAATTTCTATTAAGATAGTAGAAATGTGTTACATATGAATTAACATTTGTGATATATATATATCATTTTGCTGCCATTTCTGTCCTGCAGTACAGGGGACATTGTGGTAAACATCAGCACACTTTGCAATGCAAGTCAGTTCATTAGCCTATGCTGGTTGGGAATTACAGAAATTGTAGCCTTAACACATCCAGATAGCTGGTTTAGCCAATTAAGCAAGGACTTCAAAGGCATCAAACGAAGTTTCATTTGCCTCGTTTGGATCGCAAATATGTCAGTTGCTCAATTTTCCAGATTAAGCTGTTTTATATATCATATTTTTTATCTTCAATTTCATACTGTTCAAACAGAAAAGCATTTTTTGTGGAAAATTGCCTTCTTGGACTTCATAAAGGTTGGGAATAGTATTAACTAGATTATGTGAAATTGAAACTGTCATGTTGCTCTTTTGTCATTTGTTTGATTTTTCTTGTTCTATATTTTTAGTTCCTATTTCTAAGTTTAATAAAATATTTGACTTGGAACTTGGGGATTGAATAGGTATTTTTTACTGACCCAAGTATTTATTCCTTGAATGTCTTCCTTCTATGCTGCAGTCTGTACCAGGAAAGATAGTTAGAAAACTAGACTTAGATCACAATGTCATGCAGAAGTCAATTGGTAATTATTGTCTTCAGTTGGGGGTCAATTCAAGCATTTTAACATGCTTTTCAGCATAGAGTAGAAAGTTGAAAACTAATGAGCCTGCCTATTACGGTCATGATGGTCATAAAGCAGGTCATCCCTGACCACTCTGATTTTATGACCTTTAATTTGTGGTGGTTGTTAAAACACTATTGATCATTAAATGAATCTGGTCATTAAGCGAATGCATTTGCTGTGGGATGTTTTTGCTGAACACTAGAAGTAAGTAAATGCTGGTTTTTGGCAAAAATTTAAATCACAGTCATGTCACTGTGACACTAAATACCAATAGGTGTGGGCTGGTTGCTGAGTGCCTGAAATGCAGCCATGACGGGGGGGGGGGGGGTCAGCGGCTGTTAGAACTTTGGAACCAGGTCATAAATACCTTTTGGAGACTCTGTCATAACTTTGAATGGTCTCTAAGTGACCAGTCATTAATCAAGGACTACCGATATGGCAGTCCCTGGGTAAAGAACGAGTTCTGTTCCCTAACTCTGTCTTTAATCCAAATTTGTATTTAAATCAGAACAGGTTTAACGTACCTGTACTGTATATCAGGAATAAATAACAACAAAGTTATTTACAATTTTTTTTGTAAAGGTTCAACTTATAACGTTTATACGTTATAAGTTTTTTTTATAGATTTTATATCTTAAAACTGAATTATATAGGAGACAGACTTCCAGCAAGGAAAACTTGTTAAATTCAGTCTTCAGAGAAAGTTGTAAGGTGTTTTTAGATGTTTGAATAAAATGACATGGACGTAGAATTGCAACTGTGTTTTCTGTGTTACTTCTTACTTTTAAAACAGAACAAAGAATTCTGAAGAAGAGCGAAAGAAAAATGAACAAACAGATACAAAACAAATGTATTCCATATATTAACAAGCTGGGCAAGTTAAAGCATTTCTGTACCAAGAAAAGGACAGGGCAGTCTGAGAAAGGAGAATGGAGAGGGTGTCTGTGGATAGAGTAACTTGTATCCCACTTCTGTGGAGATTTTGCCAATATTTGGTGGTAGTTTCAAGCCTCAAATTATGAATAATTATTATAGAGCTATTGTGTGGAGTTGGATTTTTTATTATATTGAGTAAAGAGATCAAATAAGGGAAGACGCCCCCGCCATGAGTACTCGGGAGATAAGTTGGGACAGAAAGACAATACAATATGTAATTTATATTTGTTATACAGTATAATGGATTTCTCAATCCAGATTGATGAAAATAATGGAACGAAGGTAGACTTCACAAATCAAGTTCAATTGCAAACATCCTGCTCCTTTGTTTTTCAAAATTCACAGGACTTTGTTTGACAGAGCAGGAAGGAAACTGCTTTGCTACCAGGAAGAATGTGATGGCTGCTTTTGCCAGTGGTATGAGAGTCTCTTCCATCTATTGAGATGGGAAGGCATAAACCAGCTAGTA